GGGGGGGGGGGGGGGACTCTTGCGAGATGGGCCGGAGTGAGCGCGTGGACCCGGCTTGGGCGCCAACATGCCAAGCACAGGTGCCGGCCTTCCGGTCGCCGAGGTGCCACCTGGCTTGGCCATACTGCCGACTGACTGTCCCTCGCCGCCGGGCTTCTTCCCTGGCAGACGGCGATCGCCGCGCACACCACCACGGAGGGCGCGAAAAGGGAAGAAAAAGACCTGGCCCAGGCCGCACACGGGCAGGCTGTGCGCGCGTGCTCTCAGGCCCGCATCTACATATACACACACACCACACAAGTCCAGACGTGCGAGGTCATGGATTGCGTCTGGGAGACGCAGCCTCTTTTCCGGACAACCCGCGGCGCACGCAGGCATATGGGGGTTACACATGGCCCGGCAAGAAACCCTTCTGCACGTGATCCGACGGACACCGGAGGCGCTCCACCAGCACCGTGCGCGGATCCGAGGAACCCCCCCCCCCTGGGTGACAAGCGGACACATGCGCGTGTATCTTTTGGTTGTATTTTTCCCCCGAACGGGGGGGGGGGGGACGACGACGGCACGAGTGTCTGCCGCTCTCTCTTTGGCTCTTGCCCTGTGACAGGGGGCGGCGCGCGGTGGTCGCTGGGGGGCATGCTTCCCCCGTGCTGGGTGGGGAGAAGGGAGCCGCCCGCGGTGGTGGATGCCGCGCGGGCGCACAATACATGGGCCACACTTCTTCCCGGCAGGGGGGGGGGGGGGGGGGGGGGAATGCCCCAACCGGAGAGACACACATATGCGGGTGCATGCGGCGCGCCGCGGACGCATACACGCACACGGCATCTCCCCCTCCCTGCCACTACTGGCCGGACGTGGAGATCGCCGCGCTTGTCCCTCCCTCCCCCGATGCCGCCAACTGCCGGGGGCCGGGGGACCAGCGAGGAGGGAGGGAAAACGCGCCCCTGGCCGTCCTCTTCTGCCCCTCCCCCATCAGTGGTACTTGAGGGTGAAGTCCACGGAGATGGCACTGAGGCGCTTGTTGAAGCGGTAGTTCTGAATGTCGTCGTCCGATGGGTGGAGGAACTCCAACAGCCGGGCCGAGGTCTTCACCTCGGCCAGCTGCATCAGTCCCTTCATGTACACATCCAGGTGGGCCAGCCTCTGGACGGTCACGCGCTGGACCTGGCTCCGGCCGAACTTCATGCGTGGCGGGAAGGGCGGGAACACCAGCCGGGGGAACTGCTTGGTGAGGGCCTGGTGGAGCTGGAAGAATTGGCTGCATTTGGCCGGCGGCGGGGGCAGGGCGTGGCCAGTGTCATGGGCACGGTCAGCGGCGTCGGGATCAGATACACCACGGGGGGGGGGGGGGGGGATGAGAAAGAGGAAGAAGAGCAGGGGGGAGACACCGGCATGGGAGGCACACGCCAGCCGGGGCAGACAAAGGGGGAGGCCGTACCTGAACCGGCGGTACACGCCAATGGTCGTGATGGCGATCGCCTGGTCCTGAGACGAGTTGGCGTCGACGGGGGCGGGCCGCTGCCGGCAGACAGCCCGGTGGACCACGACCTCGTACGCCTGTGCGCGCGTGCGTGCAAAAGGAAAGAGCAAGAGGAAACCCGAAAGAGAGAGAGAGACACACACACACAGCGGCGGGCAGGACACAGGAGGGGAGGGGGAGACACACGTCAGCAGAGCACGAGGCGCGCCGACAGGATGGCCGGCCGGCCGGCCATGCATAGCAACACGTACATAGTACTTGTCCGGGTCGCGCCGGCGCTCGAATGTCCGGACGCTGGCCCCGACGATGACCACCGTGTTCGGGATGCCGGAGGCCTGGTTGGAGGCCGACAGGTTGGCCATCGACACGGCGGCCTCGATGTCCGAGAAGGCCGGCTTCCGGCGCTGGGCAAGGGAAACTACGCGTCGAGCCGATTGCGCAAGTGGTCCCCCGGTCAGTTGTCTGTGCGAGATGTGCGAGCCCCGCGCCTCGCCGGGCGCGCGCCACCACAGCGGCAGCGGCAGCGGCAGCGGCAGCGACGGAGAAGGGGGAGAGAAAAAAGGAAGAAGAGGAAGAAGAACGAGAGGTCACACGCACGCAGAGACACCTCGCCGTTGTCATCAAACTCAATGCTCTCCAGGTACCGGCGGCCGAGAATGCTGTAGAAGAACTTCGGGAAGACCTCGTCCTCCAGCTGCTGGTACACCAGGGCCCGCGCGCGCTGGAACATCGACCGGCTCACCCGGTTGGACTCGATCACCTTGAACAGGTCCATCCGCAGGTCCAGCGGCACGTCGACCGCCAGCTCGGCATCCGGCCGGAGATACTTGTGGAAGATGGTCGTCGCGTACAGGTGCAGGTCCGACGCAGATGCGACTGCATGTCATGGCAAGGGGGGGGGGGGGGGGGGAGGACAAAGGAAGGGGCACCCACAGCGGTGAGTATGTCTGGCCGAGGGCCCGAGAGGGAGCATGGCCGACGACGAGGGGGCGACATCAGGAACGCACTTTGCACGGTCTCAAACTGGCGGAGGTCCAGCACGAAGAAGATCTTCTCCACCGAGTAATCCTCGATACAGAAGCGGACAAAGTAGTCGGTCCCCTGCTCGGAGTTGAGAACACTGCGGGGACACACACAGACGCACACACACACACACACACACAAGCACGGGACCCCGGCGGGCGGGGGTGGCAGGGAGGGCGATGTCGCCGGCTCCGCGCGTCAGTACATGTGCATGCTCGATGGAGGAGGGCCAGAGAAGGAGGCAAGCAAAGGGAGACTTCGGAAGGGGAAGGGAGGCAGAGGCGGCGCGTACCCCTCCAGCGTCCGGGAGTTGGCCAGATTGAAGACCATGGTTGACGACGGCCGCGGGGTCATCACCGACAGGGTGGAGTCCGACCGGGGGAGCTTCGACACGGACCCGTGCTGGAAGTCCGACAGCGAAATGAAGTGGTCGGACTCGGCGGTGGTCGGCGTCAGCGGGGCCTCGTCCATGCTGGGATCGGCATCGGTCGGCGTCGGGGGCGTGGTGTCTGTCGGTATGGTCGCCGCCGAGGGGGGCCATGTGTGCGTGGCCGCGTGTGAGGATGTGCACGAGGGGGGAAGCGCGAGCAAGGGCGCGAGAGGAAGGGGAGGGGAAAAAAAAAAAAGAAGCCCCGGGGGAAGAGCCAGCCGGAGGGCACTCGGCCGGGGGGAGGGGGGGGGGGGGGGCAGGACCACGCACGCAGGAGCTCGTCCGCCTCGGGGAAGGCGCGCTTGATGAAGACCGACCGATTGGACATGCACCGCGAGCAAATCGGCTGGCCGGACTGCTGGTAGAAATGCTGCGACGAGCCGGGGGTCCCGTTGGACCCGCCGAGCCCGGAGGAGGAGCACTGCGGCGAGGACTTCATCGGCTGGTGGCACTGGTAGCACTGGAAGCAATCCCCGTGGTAGGTCCGGCCGAAGGCCTGCACCAGGTCCCGGAGGATGGTCTGGTGGCACTGGTGGCACTTGGGCGAGCCTGCGGACGTGCATTGAGCCACGCGAGGAGCCGGGCGGCGGCGGCGGCGGCGGCGGCGGTGGTGGTGGTTGGGTCAGCGATTGGCATGTCCAGGCGCGAGGCAGCCCCAAAAGGGGGCAAGGCAAGGGGAGACCCCCTCGCGCCGGGCCCGGCGATCTCCCGCCGGAAGGGGCGTCCCCTGCGCAAGGGGGGCAAAATCGAAAAGGGCACGCACAGCCGACGCAGAGGACGCGCTCATTCTGGTCCAGCGAGAAGGGGGCCTCCAGCAGCGACGCGGCGCACACATTGCACCGCATGCAGTGGATGTGGATGTACACGCCCCCGGCGGCCAGGCTCATGGATGAGTGCGATGGCTGCTGATGGGGAGGCGCCAGGGGGGGGCTGGCAAGGGGGTCGTCGTCGATGGAGTCGGTCGAGGCGCCGGTAGCCGGCCCGGTGGCCGGCTCGTCCACCAGCACTCGCGGCTCCTGCGGCCGGATGGGCAGCGAGCATAGGTGGCAAATCTCGTCATCCTCGTCGAGCTCCTCCTCGCTGTCGCTGTAGTACCCGCCGTGGGCCGGGCTGCCGGGGCCGTGGCCGTCGCCGAGGGCGTGCTGTGTGCCGCCGAGGGTGGGAGGAGGAGGACGGTCAGGCGAGAGGGAGAGAGAGAGAGGAGGAGGAGGAGGAGGGAGAAGGAGAGACGCGCGTACCGCGTGCGAGCCGCCGTCGATCAGGTCGTCGGCCAGGACGATCATGCGCTTGGCTCCGAGAGCCAGCTTCTTCAGGCGCTCGAGGACACACTGGCGCAGGGCGATGAAGTCATTGACGGTGGCCGCCTCGGGCGAGGTGCTGCCGAAGACTGCGTGCACCGGGGGGGGGGGGGGGGGGGGCGGCGCGGAGGGAAAGAGGGGAGACCTCGGGGGGGGGGGGGGGGGGGGGGGG